ACGTGATAAATAATAAATAATTACTTAATATGTGCAAGTGGTAACTGTAGATTTTAACTCGTTGTCAGTTTTCATAATATTTTCAGAAATTAGTGTAAAATGTGTGAAAAAATAATTTATATTTAATAGAAATTGCAAATTTTATTAAATTATTTTATTATTTAACAATCACATTTCATAATAATTGCAATTTAATTAAAAAATAACAGTTTTCTTAAAAGTTACAAGAACTCTATTATACCGACCACACACGGAACAGCGGAACGCACGCCAAGATTTGAAAAGAGTTACAAATTTTAAACATTCATTAAATAGAAAATATGCAATTTTTTTCTTTATTTATAAAAAAAACTTTAGAATTTTGTTAAAATAATAAAAATTAAGCTGATATATTTTTCTTAAATTTTTACTTATAACTTCTTAAAAAATTCTTAAATAAAAGATCAAAAAATTTAGTTAAATTTGTATTTTGCCATCATAATTTTTTAACAAAAATATAATTTTTTAGACATAAAAATAAGAAAAATTTACATTAAAACTTATTTAACAATTACATTTTTTTAACAAAATTCTTTTTTTTTTTAAAAAAAAGTTGCAGATTTTTTATTTCATATTCACAATTTGTTAAAGACGGATGTTGTTTAACAAAAAAAAAATAAAGTAAAATAAATTTCGAAGAAAAATAATAAGTTAGAAACTACACTAATCTTTATTATTAACAACCCGCTTATTCGGTAAGCGTAATTGCTCTTCGCTACACAAGATAGAAAAAGGTAGTGGACTGTTGCTTAGAGTGTTATCTATTCAACACCCCCGGGTAGACGGTATTTCGTTGAAAATATTCATAAAGAAAGAAATGAGATAACACAAATAAAGGTGATTAAATAAATTGAGAATTGAATTGACATAAAATAAGGTAACATTTATTCATACAACCCCCAATAGAAAATACATTCAAAACCCCAATTGATCTTTAAATAAAAAATGATTACAATGGAAAATACTGCTACGTTAAGCTACTTGAATTGATAATTCAAGTCTCACAAAAATCATATATTATGAACACAAACAAGAGATCAATAATGCGTGTAGGATTTTAATAACAACAGCAAAAAAATTAATTCGTGTAAATGAAATAAGTGTAATAGTGTTGGTTTTATGAGATTCTGTAATTTCGAAATTATGAATATAAATTCAAGACAACTCACCCAAATAATAATAACTAAAATGATACCGAAAAGTATCAAATTACTTTCTCACTCTCAGAAGTTAAATTGTTATCTGTCATATGATTCTGCAGTATGCGGAAGCTATCTTTCTACCTTCGTTTATTTTATATATTTTCTTTTATCAAACTTGTTTTTGTTAATTGTCTTCGGACAATTATTTCAATATTTCAATTTCTGTCTATTAAAAATTCAGAATATTGGGTCACAAAATCTGAATTTTCTGAACAGTAAACTTGAAATATAAACAATTGCGAATATATAATAAATACTTTTAGACAAGAAATGGATTCTTCACTTTAACAATTAGAACACTTTATACTTTTCAGATAATCTTCTTGATTTTAATGAACTTTTATGTACTCGTCGACTTCACAGATTGTGGAATAAACACTTATATTTTTAATAAATAAAACTCGATGAACTTCAACCCTTACTATGGGGAATAAATGATCCTCTCTACCACTCTTAGTGGGAGTTAAACTTTAATACTCATCCGCTCCTTGGCGGGAAATACATCCGCTCTGCGGGAAAAACAAATTAAGACTCCTCGAATAATAATTTTGTGGCCACGATCACACCCATTTGGTATATAATTTTAGGTGGTGGGAGGGTTGATTTTGCAACCAACACCTCGTTGTTTCCATGCAAGTTTTAGCAAAACTTGCATTTTAATCGTGGCGTGATCGGTTCAACCACCTTTATTAACGGTATACTTTATGTGTTTCCTCATTTTCCTAAAATAATGTGGCAACTCTTAGAGTGTAAGTCCCACAACTTGCGAAATCGACTGTGAATTTAGTTTGAATTATTTCGCAATATGAAGTTCAATAAACTGAACTCATTTGCGAAATAAACTTTGATTTAGAAATTTAAATAACAAAAAAATGAATTTATAAATATTTATTGAATAATTAGAAATATTATTTAACTATTCTAGTGTCTAAAACTTAGTATGTGTGTGTGTTGTGTGTTGTATAGACGTAGGTATTTAATTGACAAATAGTTGTAACGCTGATAATATAAATATTATTTTGAATAAATAATATTTATCGCCTAAAAAAAAAATTTAAAAATTACAGAAATCCGTCCGTAACAAATACCCCCCTTTATTCTGGCTGACGTCCCTTGGCAGCCTGTGTAGGTGTGATGTCATCTATTTATAATTTTTTTTTTACAAAGGGTCCTTTAGTGGTTTTACATTTTTTAAATGTTTACAAATTGTCCAAGAACGCAAAATGTTGTATGTTGTAGATTAGCTGGAAAAAAAAAGTCTAACGAGAACTGATTTTCCTTTTATAATGATAAATAGTCGTTTCCTCTTTTTTTTGTTTTAGGAAGATTTTTAGGGAAAGGTCAAATAAGTTCTCGTCCTTAAAGGAAAAAAAATGTTGTTTGTACGAGAAAAAAAAATGATAGAAAAAAAAACTGATATTTTTTTTTTATAAAAAAAATGAAATATAAAGAATAAAATCAAAACCAGCAAATTATTAAATTTCATTGTTTTGATTACGTTATAAATTGGTATTTATGAAAAAAATATTAGAAATTTTTTGTTAAGTTTGGTTAATTTAAAATTATTATATAATTATCAATTTTAATAGTTTACTAATTTTGCTCAAGTTAAAAAAAAATAACACATAAATTCAAGTGTATGGAATGTATTTTAAAATAATTAAAAAGAAAAATGAAATATTGACTCTTGATTTCTTTTCCAAAAAAAATGTGTCATATATTTCAATACGTATCCATACATATATATATTTTGTTGATGAATGCCCCCAAAAAAAATGAAAATAATTGATAGCTGTTTTGTTTCAAATTATAGATAAAGAAATTAAATAAAAAAATTTATAGCTATATATAAATATATATATAAAATAATAATACAAAAATATGTTGGAGATAAAGTATTTTAAAAAAAAATGTTCTCCAACCCCTAACCCTCTCTCTTCTCTTGCTGTCGTCCCTTGACAGCTCTCTTTTATTTTTTTTTTAATGAAGGTGAGAAAAAGGTTAGTAGAAATGAATTTGATTCATGTTATATATTATTCATACTAAAAAATGTGTCGCATTTTTGTATTATATTTTATGTAAAAATTGCTGATCCTCTTTTATTTTTGTTAGTTTGCAGAAAGTGTTTCCTTTAAGTGTTCGTTTATATTACGTGATCAGTCTTTCTATAGTCTTTCTCGAGTTCTAAGCTATATTACAAAATTTTGTTTCATTTGTTATTTGTTCGAAGTTTCTTTGTGCAATTTTTTTTTTAACAACTTATGTCTTCCCAATCTCTTTCTTTCGACTCTTATATGATGGCCCTTGAATTGGCTAGGAGTGGCGTGGTGGATGTGGCGGGTTTTTTAGTTTGGAAGAGGTTCGAGCTGGAGAAATTGCAGTCAGATAAAGTATTGAGTGGCTGTCGTGGGTATGTATTTTGTTTAATTACTTCCTTTCCTTTTTTTTTTTTTTTATAAAATGTTTTACGTTTATTTAATTGTGATTTTACTTAACCCTTTCCGTCATGCTGGGTCTCTCAGTGACCCACTTACATTTTTCTAGTTTTCTATTTTTCTAATTGATTTGTTATCATTGAATATCATATTTTTGTTTTTATACGGTTATTTAGACATAAGCAAGTGCAAAAAATATGTGATCAGTTGTTAATTGTTATTTACAACATTATTGTAAGTTAACAATTAGTCAAAATTAGTACAATTTTCAAACAAAATGTTTTTTTTTTGCTTATAGATTAAGCAATTCAAGACGTGAATTTTTTTGCGTGCTCAGAACATGCAATACTATTTTATAAAATTATTTAACATTTTTCCGCCATATTATTTTTAATAAATTATATGTTATTTTTACAAAACGTAAAAAGCTATGTTTTTTACAAAATTCAAAATAAATACTGAATAAATATTTATAGAACAGTATCTGGGTTTCTATTTCAATAATTGAACTGAAATATGTAATAAAAACTTTTAAATTCAAAATGGCGGATTCAATATGGCGTAAGAATTTTTTGAAAAATTGACAAATTTTCATAAAACTTGTTATCTAGGGGTTTTCGGGGTCGCTGATTACGAATCTAAAATCCGTTTTTAAAAATTCAAAATGGCGGATCCAATATGGCGGACGAGTTTTCCAAAAATTGATCTGATTAGTTTCAAACTCGTTATTCCGGGGTTTTCGGGGTCGCTCATTACGAATCTGACGTCAGATTTTCCAAATTTCCAAAATTGTAATTGGCGAATTTCATATAGAAAACGAAAGTGTTTTAGTTGTTTGATCATTATTTTGGGGTTCTTGTGATCGATCAGATTTTCAATTGCTTTCATTCTAGATGCGACTTTTAAAAAAAATTTCATCTGCTGTCATGCAATTGCTATTTTAAAGTTAATGTTTTAGTATTATCTTTCATAGACAGTTTACGGCTTATTATCTTGAAATATTTATCATTTGGTAAACATAAACAAAAGTAGGGATCGGAACACCAATTTTCAATTGTTTTCATTCTAGATGCGAATTTTATTCATACTATTTTCAGGTATTAGCTTATTTTAAGGTTAACATTTTGGTATTGTCTTTTATAGATTGCTCATTGCATATGCATATATATTTATCATTTGGTAACTGCAAACAAAATTATTGATTAGTGCATCGATTTTCAATTGTTCTTATTTTTCATGCGACTTTTTCGAACTCGTATATACTAGCTAATTTTATCAATATAATTTAATTTCTTTGAGATTAATTATTGTTTGCGAATAAACAATGGAGGACGAAGAGATTATAGACATTCGCAGTGATTGTGAATCAGTTGATGGCTTATGGGATTCTGATAGTGATGCTGTTTCAGACAATGAATATAGTGAAGATAATGAACAAATTTCATCGGAGGACTCTGAAAATGAAATTGACGAATCTTTGAAAGATCGCTTAGAGAAGTTAGATGGCATTTGGGAAAAGAGAAGCAGGTCAAGCGAAAATATACCTTTTACAGAGGATTCAGGACCTAATGTACCTGAATCAGTTACTTCTCCATTAGATATTTTTTACTGTTTGTTTACAACAGAGATAATTGATATTTTAGTGGTTCAAACTAATCTTTACCTAAATCAGAAACAGAGTACATTAGATCCAGTATCCAAAGCTGAAATGCTTACGTTTATTGGTATCAATATATTAATGGGCATAAAAAGACTTCCGTCTTACAAAGATTATTGGTCCATGAATTCCCAACTAAACGACCCATACATCAGTAATCTCATGAGTTGTAATAGATTTAGTTTCTTCTTGAGTCACTTGCATGCTAATGATAATGATAAAGAACCCAAAAAAGGTGAAGCAGGATATGACAAACTTTACAAAATAAGGCCAATAATTGAAAAACTGAATGAGAGTTTTAAGAACTGTTTTAAGCCCAATCAACATCAATCGGTAGATGAGTCGATGGTAAAATATAAAGGGAGGAGTACTATGAAGCAGTATAATGCCGCTAAGCCAATAAAAAGAGGTTGCAAAATTTGGGTTCGTGCTGATATGACCGGTTACGTCTGCGAATTCCAAATTTATACAGGTAAGTCAACCAATGCCAAAGAGAAATCATTAGGATTTAGGGTTGTACGAGATCTTACTCGAGCAATTGTTGGCAAGTTTCATAGAGTTTACTTTGACAATTTTTTCACGAGCATCGATTTAATTGTTTCCTTGAAGGCTGATGGAATCTTAGCTTGTGGAACTGTTCGACCAAATCGAATTGGTTTACCAAAAAAACAAATGTCTGATAAGAAAATGGTCCGCGGTGAAATGGAATATCGTACATCCTACACAGGTGTTCGCTGGCTAAAACGGAAAGACAATAGATCGGTCCAATTTTTATCTAACTTCCATGATCCTTCTAAACCAGAAACAGTAAGTCGAAAACTAAAAGATGGTTCGCGAATCCTTGTTCCTTGTTCAGTTATGGTGTCAGACTACAATCAGCACATGGGGTATGTAGATAAAGCTGATCAGCTCAAATCTACATATCAGATAAGTAGGAAATCGAAAAAGTGGTGGCCTCGTCTTTTTTGGCATCTACTCGATGTGGCGATAACCAATGCCTATATTATTTATGTGGAAAAAGGAAACAAAAATATGACATTAAAAGCTTTTCGATTAGCCATAGTAGATGGTTTAGTCGGTGGAATTCAGCCATTAAAAAAAAGTAGAAAAAATTTACCAAAAGTGTTAGGGCCACATAAACCCCAAATATCAGTAGAGAAAAGACGCTCTGGTTCTGCACATCTACCTGTGTATAATCAAGACGGAAAACGAAGACGATGTGCCCTTCGCAGCAATAGCGCAAAAGAACGAAAATCTGCTTGGATTTGCTCGGAATGTAAAGTTGCACTTTGCTTAACGTCGCAGAAAAACTGTTTTCAGGCTTACCATTCTTAAATCAGAAAAGAATTTTGATTTTTACAGATTCCATTAGCTCTAATGATTAGCAAACGCATAATAATAAAATACTAAAATTTAAAAAAATGCAAAACAGAAAAATACAAAAAAACAAAATAATATAAAAAATACAAAAAAAAACAAAATAATGTAAAAAATACAAAAAAAATACAAAAAAAATACAAAAAGCAAAAAAAAAAAAAGGAACCATAATCTCGCCACGTCCACGTCGTTGGTTCTGGGTAGAGCTGAGAGCGAGAAAATGAACACTTCATATACAAACAGATTTTAAAATATTTGTCTGCCATATATTATACACTTTGAATTCTCGAAAACTGACCGTAAACAACGATTCGTAATTAGCGACTACGAATACCCCGAGTTACAAGTTTCAAGCGAAATGCGCTTTATTTTTAAAATATCATCCGACATATTGGATCCGCCATTTTGAATTTTTGAAAACGGACTTTAGATTCGTAATCAGCGACCCCGAAAACCCCCGAGTAACAACTTTCAAGCGAATTGCGCTTTATTTTAAAAATGTCAGCCGCCATATTGGATCCGCCATTTTGAATTTTTGAAAACGGATTTCAGATTCGTAATCAGCGACCCCGAAAACCCCCGAGTAACAAGTTTCGAGCGAATTGAGCTTTATTTTCAAAATGTCAGCCGCCATATTGGATCCGCCATTTTGAATTTTTGAAAACGGATTTCAGATTCGTAATCAGCGACCCCGACAACCCCCGAGTAACAACTTTCAAGCGAATTGCGCTTTATTTTAAAAATGTCAGCCGCCATATTGGATCCGCCATTTTGAATTTTTGAAAACGGACTTTAGATTCGTAATCAGCGACCCCGAAAACCCCCGAGTAACAAGTTTCGAGCGAATTGAGCTTTATTTTCAAAATGTCAGCCGCCATATTGGATCCGCCATTATGAATTTTTGAAAACGGATTTCAGATTCGTAATCAGCGACCCCGAAAACCCCCGAGTAACAAGTTTTAGGGTTCAAATTTTTATACCTGAGTGGGTAGATGCTCCAGTTAGAAACCCTTCTTTCTCTAAATGGCCCTTGGATTTGGTGGGTATGCGGAAAGCAGTTAAAAGCGATGTGGGGGAGGTTATTTGGCACCAGGAGTACCGTTGGAGTTGGGATGCAAAAAAATATCGATACCGTGGTTACTGGGCGCCAGCATCCTTTCAACACCCCACCTTGTGTACAGTTCCTGATACCTTGGAAATTGAGGAGATTCAGGGCTGTTTGGGTGTTAATATCTCCAATTAGTGAGTATTCTGAATTTATACATTTGTAATTTTGCGTGAGTTAATATACATAAAAAAAATAAAATTTTAATTCTTAACGTAAATGTCTTCCCTTTTTTTTTTGCAGTCCTTATTCTCATTTACCTGCTTTTCCGAGGACTTATGGGCCACGTCCTACTGATCCGGCATTAGAATTAATCTTTTGTCAAAGATACCGAGAAGAGTGGGAAGGTCTTGTTTTAGTGGGCAGTAGGTGGGAGACGGTAAGTTCCCCCCCCCTTTTTTTTTCTTTGCTTTACAAAATTTTGTTAAAATAAAAAAATAAAATGTTTTTCTCTTTTGTTTTGTTTTTTTTTTCAGAGATGGGCTTTACGCATGCCGGTCATCTGGCATGAGTGTTAATTTTAGTTATTTATTTATTATTATTATGTATTGTATTTTAAAAAGAAATTCCGCTTTTCCTTAATAAAAAAAAAATCTTTCACGTTTTCAGAATTAAATATAACATTAATTAATAAACAATATTGAGTTTTTATTGTTGATTTTAATAAAAATTAATAATTGCAATGTTCGTCTTTTTTTTTGTGTTCTATACCCCCTTTCTTTTTTTTCCTTTTTTTTTTTTTTTTTTTTTTTTTTTTAAATTAAACAACAAAAAAAAAATTTTTTAAATAAATAAAAGAACGAAAGTTCGTTTGTTTTCATGGTTAGTGTGCTGTTAAAGGTTGTGGTTATTTTTACTATATATCTTTTCTTTTAGTAAAATTTATTAATATATATTTAAAAAAAACGATAGGTTTTTCAATAATTTTTTTTTAAAATAATATCCTTATAAATAAATAAATAAAAAAATACGCAAAAAAAACTTGTTGTCTGATAATTGAAATATCTTTGCCGCTCTCTTTTATTTTCTGTGCTACCTATAGTACTTGCGTACTTATGGTAAGCCATTAGGCTTTACATTGTTCAGCAATTAATCCTCGCGGTGGCAGCATCTTGCAGCCCGTCGCGGTTTCCTTCCCCCTTCGGTTCTACCTCCTTCTAATCCCTGTTTCTTTTTCCATTGTTTCGCTTCCGCGCGGTCCTAGCGGCACGCAATAATTATATCGCGCTTCATTTTTTTCTTTTCGTTTTTTTTTTTTTAATTTTAGTGATTTGTGTTTTTTTTTTGGTGTTTGTTCTCTCCTTTTTTTGACAGTGTAAAGTGGTTAAAACAAAGTGTATGTGTAGTGTATTTACTCTAAGTCCGCCCCTCCCCCCTTTTTACTCTGTTTTCTTTTCTGTGTTCGTTTCGAAGTGTTTGCTGCAAAAAAAAATTTTTTTTTTTTTTTTTGGATTACGTTGGATTATTTGTTTAACTTGTGTTTCATGGATTAGTTCCAGAATTACAACATCGGTAAGTCTCAACAAATAATCCTTTTCATATATCTCCTTCATATATTTTTTTTATATTGAGTAATTACCAATTTTAATTTATATTTAAAGTATAAGTATAATTTAAAATATTTTCATTTTTTCCTTTTTTATTCTTTTATATTTTTATTTTCTTTACAACTTATTCTTTCAGCTTTTGCTGAGTTTTTTTTTTTTTTTGATAAGCCGTCTCTCTCGCGTGTCAAATTTCCCGCGGTCTTTGCGAGGTTGCCATGTTTAAACTTTTTCTTTTTAATATATTTTGAATTTAACTCTCCCCAAAAAAAAATTCTTTTTATTTCTATTTTTTTTTTATATTTAATGTGATATTACCCCATCGCAATATCTAATATTACATCTATTATTTTATACAACATTCCATCCCCCATATAATTGGACTAATCTTTTATAATATCTAATTATTTTATACTTTATTTATTTATTTTATTTTCTTTTTTTTTTAATTTTTCAGATACGTCATTTAATTATTCTCTCTTTTCCTTTTTGTTTTTTTATATAAATAATTTTGAATGTGAATTTATTAAAATATGAATTTAAATTAATTTTTTTGAATCGTCGTGAAATTATTTTATTCAAACTTATTGATATCTTTCAAAATTTTAATTGATTCTTGGATAAATCTTTGAATTGAATTTTGTTTTAAAATAATTAAAAAAAAATGAAAAACTTTCGTTATTATAATTATTAGTAGGGAAAAAAAAATTTTTTTTTTAAATATCAGTATTTTTTTTGTGGTTAAAAAAAAATCGTAAAAAAAAATTAGTCAAATAATATTGGCCTTGTATACAAATCATTATTTTTATAGTGTTAGTGGGGTTCCGCGCTGAACGCGTTGAGTGTAAGCTCCCCTCGCGTCCCTCGACATTGTGCGAGAGAGAAAGAAACTGCGTGCTGCAACTCCCCGTTCACTCTCTCTCTCTCCAATGCACTTTGCTCACAACCTTCTGTCCTCTCTGTTTTCTCATTGTCTTTCTCTGTTACTCTTATGCCTAATGCATGTGTGGCTTTATATTATTTCTCTCTTAGTTTTTAACGTCGTTTAGCGGCATTTATTTTATATCTTTTTATTCTTATATATATATATTTTTTTTTTTTTTATTTAAACAAATTAACTCCCCAAAGAAAGATGCATTACCCTTGTTAGTTCTATCCCTTGATTAATATAATATATATTTTTTCTCCTTTTTTTTTTAAATGTCACTTAATCAATTAATCAATTAATTACTTAACCAACTCAAATTAATAACTACTTAAATCAATAATAATCAAATGTTGATTATTAGTTAATAATTAATTGTTCCCTCCCCAAAAAAAACATACTAATTATATTTTAAACTTATAGTTTCTTAATTTTTCTCCCCTTTTTTTTTTTTAGTATTATGAGTTCCCTGCCTCCGGCTCCAGTGATTTGGAGCTTGTTTCCCTTACCCGCCGTGAGGACATTGTTTGGCCCGAGGTAGAGATTGATTCCACTTGTAGTGCAATCAGTGACGCCTCTACTCTACCCTTACTCACTAGTACCCGTAAGTGTCTATAACTACCCCTAAATTTTTTTAAAAAAAAATAATGTTTTGCATAAATTTTTTTTTTTTTTTTTTTCATTTTTTTAATTTTTTTTATTTTTTTTTTTTTTTTTATATATTTTTTTTTTTAAATATTTAAAAAAAATTTTCTTTCTAGCCGCCCAAAGTGAAATACCGGACACTCCTGCTTCCCCTGATCCTGTATTTGAGGCGTATTTTGACGCCCATGCACGACCTTATAGCCCAGGTTAGTAGCCTCCCAAAAAAAATATATTTTTATACCCCTATATTTTACCCCGTCCTCAATTTTTATTGTAAAAAAAAAAATTTTTATTTTATTAAATTTTTCCTCTTTTTTTTTTTTAGCCCCCCTTTCTACTGGTGTTGAATCCGTTGGATCTCGCTTGACACGAGCCAGCTCCACCCAGACCAACCCCTATTTTCCGGAGGGTTTACCTTTGGAAGGTATTAGCTTATTTTTATTACTTCTAATAATTCAGTTAATGTATGTAAATAAAAATTATAACTTTTTCACTACCCCCTCCTTTTTTTTATTTTTTTTTTTTAGGCCATCTTTATAGTATTCCGGCGCACAGTTCAGCTGAACATTTGCTGAACAGTGATCTCCCTCTTCGTCCCTATGTTGAGTATTTATTTCAAATAATATATATAATAATAATTTTAACAATAAAAAAAATTCCCCTTTTTTTTTTTTATTTATTATTTTTTTTTTTATTATTTTTTTTTAGAACCCCCTGCGGCTGACGAGCAAGTGGTCCTGCAGCTGATCGCTCGGCGTAGAGTCTTAGCTGATGGTTCCATCCGAACGGAATATCGGTGGGCTGGTCCTAATTTTTATTAAGTAAGTTTACCCTTGTCTATTTCTAAATCGCCCTGTTCTTTTTTTTTTTTTTTTTTTTTTTGCGGCGTCAGCTTTAAAGTAAGTATATATTACAACCGTAATTTTTTTTTATGTAATTCTAATAATGTGCTGATTTTATTATTGTATATATATGTATATCTGTATGTTTTTTTTTTGAATACCCCTTTTTCTTTCAGAACCCATTTTTACATTACTTGTTGACCTGCAACTGGGCTAATAAGATGCTTTTCCCTACTCAGCGACAAACATCTTAATTGTGGTTGTTTATACATAGTTGCGCGTGCATAAATATGCATTAGTGGCAGCTAATATTGGTAAAAAAAAAACAAAAATCTTATATATATAAAAAAAATATATATTTCCCCCCTTTTTTTTTTACCTTAAATCTATATTGTTAGTTCTTTCCCCTTTTTTTTAAAAAAAAAATGCTACTATATACAACTATATACCCAGAAAAAAAATATATATATTGGATCAACCCGATCTATGTTATTATTGGTTTAAAAAAAAATGATTATTTTATTTTTTTTTTCTTCTTTTTAATGGACTTTTACAACTGGGCACATTACGGTTCTTCTTTTTGGTTTTGGTGTAGGTGTCCCTGAAGTTAATACTTGAATAGATTCTGAGAAGCTGGCTGTAGCTTCTTCTTTTGTGGATGTCGTAACCTTTGTTTGATTTATTTCGGTTGGAATGTCTTGGGATAAATCTCTTAGCGGTACTTCATTTGTTTTGTCTTTTCCATTCAGGATATTGTTTATGGTTGTGGATCTTTTCTTACAAGTAATCATAATAATTATCACTGTTGCTAAAATTGCTATTGTGGTGACCGTGCCCCAAATTCCTATCATTATTGGGGAATACGTCTCATTGAGTTTTTGGTTCAACACACGTTGGCTTTGTTCTTCGAATTCTCTCTCTAATAATTTCAGTTTTTCGTCTGAATCCGACTTTTTCCATGAAAAGAATTTGTTGTCGTTTTCTACTACTACAACCTTCCGACCTACATCTTTCAGTATCAATGATACATTTTCTAACTTTAATTCGAGTTTGGGTTTATAAAGATATCTATACGGATTCTCTTTAATTTGAAGACTCGGCAATTCTATAGTATCTAACTTAAGAACACATTCTCTCGCCACATGTACAATTCCTATACCTGCCAAAGTATAAGCTTCGGCTTCTCTCTGTGGGCAATTCAAATACACTATTTACGAATGGATAAGAGAGTATAACCAACTACCTGTTGTGATCAGTGGTTCCCAAAGTGGTTGTTGATTTTTAGTGAACCTGATGTCACAAATTTTTAGGGTTTCGTTGTTTGGATTTCTTCGAAGCTCGGCCTCACAACCCGGTACTGACAGAATATCGTAAACTCCATGCATGTGATAACATATGTATTTATCTTCTATCTGCTTGCAGCTTTTAAGTTGTTCCTCATTTAGATAAAAATAATACCTTTCATCGCTTGTAATTGCTAGATATTTTGCATATGCTGATATATAAGCTCTAGTTCCGTTCTCTCCTGACTCTTGTAACAGCGGCACTTCATGCATCTTATATAATGTGTAAATTCTCTCTTCCACCAGAGGAATATCTAAGGTTATAATCAAATTATTCTCGCTAGTGTGTATGTCTGTTTGTGAGATTCTATCCACGTCTGAAAGTGTTATTTCGTCTATAGGTACCGGAAAGTCCACACCCTTCAAATACTTCTTCGCCTCTGTTGCTATGTTTACTAGTTGTTCGTCTGTTAACAATTTAGGTGACAATTTTCCTTCTTTCGCCTTATACATTATATCAAGTGTTTCACTTAGACTGTGTTCGTAAATCCCTATTTCGCGGTTCCAATTTTCAATGGCATTCCTAATATTGTTCAAATAAGCTTCGTGATCCAATTCCTTTCGTAAACGTAAAATTTCATCCTCAAACGCTCTTAAATTTTCCCTGAACTCTTGCGATTGATTGTGTTGTTTTTCGGCTATGTCATACATTTTGTGTAATTCCGCTCGGACTACATGTGTTTGTTCGCCCATTAGATGAGAAATATTCCTTTGAGCTTCATTGAGTTCTAACATAACCGCCTTATAGTTTTCTCCTTCTTCGTAGGTTAAAACTCCGATCGTGGGGCCTATCAGTTTTCCTAGTATCCCGATTAATGGTGCACTTCTTTTGTTAATTCTGTTATTTAGGAATTCTCGTTTTGTTGACTCCGAATGTTTTAGGGCTTTGATAACCCTTTGTACTTCTTTCCAGTGCAATCTAGCTATCTCCAACCTATTTTTCAAGCCTTCCGTGTCCGCGAAGTGATGACAATTACTGCCCAATATTTTCCTACATGGCTCGTTAGATCCTATTACGTGTTTTTCGAAAATTGGTAGTTGGTTTAAAAAATCTTCCATGTCTAAGACAATGACTGTTCTCCAAAACCCGGTGGTTCTTAGTACTGTGGATATTCTTTCATAATAAATGCCTGAACTTTTGTTCATTGGTATTATAGTGATGCCTGAATTTTGTCCTCTGACTGCTAATAAGATCCCGGTTAGAAATAGCGCTATCCCCTTCATTTTCGGCTGTGATTCTGCAACCAAAATTTTAAACTAACGTTTAGTTAAATTGCTAATCTATTGGGTTTGGGCAGAAACCGCCTTTCTATTCTATAGCTAGTTTAGCTAAACTATCGGCTTCTTCGTTGCCTTTAATTCCACTATGCCCTGGTTCATAAATTAGTTCTACTTTAATCCCTGTTATATTGTCGTTTAGTTTGCTAAATATTTCTTTACTAACTACAGTTTTCCTTCTATTAGTTTTCCACCCATTTTTCTGCCATTTTGGTAACCAGCTCAGGTAACCATCTATCACAAACTTAGAGTCGGTGTGTATCCTGACTTTGCATACCCCTTTTTTCTTTAATATGCTAATTGTTTTCACGATAGCTTCTATTTCTGCTCCATTATTGGTTTGTTTTATCTTCGCTTTTTCACTGACATTGAGAGGATGTTGTTTATTGAACCATATTCCTATACCTGCTCTCGCTGATTCTTTGCCGTTAGCTTTACAAGCCCCGTCGGTAAAAACATGTATGAAACCCTCCCTATCTTCTAGAAATCCTGCTTCGTTTTCTAGTCATAAGTACGCCTTTTTGACTTGGTCCTTGTGTTTCCTAAACCTTTTTCCTTCAGCGTCGCATAGAATTAAGTTGCTATTCTCAGTGATGGAAATAACTTCGTAGGGTCCATGATAATAAGGTTCAAACTTTCCTGCTCTGACCTCTTCTTTTACATCTACTACATCACCTACTTTTATATCCAACGGTCTAGCTTGTTGGTCATAAACCTCTTTTGATTTAATTTTAGCGTCTATTATATTTTTTGCCGCTAGCCTCCTGATTTCGATAAGCCGCGTAACCAATTCTTGCAAATAGGATTCGTACGTTGCTAACTTCTCTTCTGTGGGAAAAGATGTGGGAATCCTTGCCTTCTTCCCAAATACTACCTCATAAGGTGTGAATTTAGTCGCATTATGTACTGAGGTATTGTATGCTAACATCGCAAAGGGTAATAAGCGATCCCAATCGTCGTTTGAATTTGCGTAATGTCTAATGTATTCTGCCAATACGGCATGGCTTCTCTCTAGGGCACCATTCGTTTGTGGATGATAAGCAGTAGTGGTTATTTGTGACACTTTAAAAAGTTTGGCTAATCTTCTCATTAAATTGCTAGTGAACATTCTACCCCTATCTGTTAGGATGGTTTTAGGTGCTCCATAAATTGAAAATAAGTGCGTTGCTAGAGCGTGAGCTATTGTCGTCGCACTTATGTCTGGGACGGGTATAAATATGCAATATTTGCTTAACTGGTCTTGCATAGTCAATACGTGACAATTTCCATCCGCCGTAGTGGGTAATTTTCCTACCGTATCTAGGCACACTTTGTCGAACGCTTCTAGGGGTGTATCGGTTATGAGCATTGGTTCTCTATTTTTTGTTCGTATTATCTTTCTTTGCGCGCAACTTCTACATTTTCGGATATATTCAGTAATATCTTGTTTTAATCCTGGCCATGTAAATTTTTCTCTGATTCGCTGGTATGTTTTGTTTACCCCTTTATGACCTGCTATTAAACTGTCATGGTATTCTGATATTATTTTCTCGCGATATTCCTTTGTGGGAATGTTTATTTTTCCGTAGCATAACTTAATTTCGATTCCACTGCTGAGAAATGTTGTTACTAACTTTTCTATACCTTTTTCACCCCATTCATCCAATAAGTCACTATAGCGCGACACCCTGAATCGTTTTATTCCCTCTTTGATTAAAACACCTTTAAGATTGTGCAAAGCGAAATCTAAATCCTCTTCGTTTATTTTTTGATCGCATTTTTCTGTTATAATTACGGTGAAAGTCCTATATTTCCCTTTTGGCGTAATTAGAACCTGTCCTACTCTTGGTTTGCTACTTTTTATTTCCTGCAAATCTATTCTTCCTGTCGCTATCAACAACTTAATCGTTGGTGTAGATGGCTCTGCATCTGCTGACATAAAATGAACGTAATTGTCCCTGTTATTCGTTAATGGTCCTCTATCATAGGTTAGAACATTTAGCCTATCTAGTTTAATTTCCTTTTCATCTTGTTTCGTATTTTGGAAAGGAGGTTCTCGAACGTCAATGTGGGGCATCGCTATGTTTATCCCAGGTTTGAACCTTATCTTATTTTTATCAGGCACCCTTTTTACTTCGTTCGTTATTATTTTACGTGGAACCACTCCCTTTTGCCTAGGCTCTATTTCTAAATCGTCTAACTCTGATTCTTCCCGAATCGGGTTAGGTACATAGGGGGTTGATTGAGCATTAGGTCTCGCCCTTGAGATGGGGGTGTCGAAAGTGACTGTTTTCTTACTACTTATAGCGTCTTTTACCGCATCTCTAGTTTCTGTTTCTAAATTGCTATTCTCCGAAGTGCTTTTGTCCAGTTGATTTA